GGAGGAAGATAGAGAAGAATTGCACAGAATAGAACAGTATAGACAATTTATGATGTGCACCATTTGGAGAGAATATTGATGAGATCACAGACTCCACGTTTAACTTAACACACTTTTAAAAAGCCTGCTATCATTCCTTCGGTCAACATTTGTCTCACACAAGCAGACCCAACTCTTTCACTTTTTTCCCTTGCTATTCAGTGAGTAGTATCTTTAGCGTTGTTCTTTTTCCTAGCTTAGGATCCCTATCTCCAGCTGCCTCTAAGACATAGCCAGGTGGAGGCATCACCTCAAACTCAACACATTCATGTCTCAGGATATTTCTTACCTTTTTCTCTAAACCTATTCCTTTGACTTCACTATTTCTGCCAGTGATACCACAGTTTATCCAGATTTTGATACTAAAAATTTTGGTGTTGTCATTGACACTTTCCTCCTCATCATTATAGGCAGTTAAGAAGTTCAGGAGGTAGAGCACTGGGACAGGAGTCAGGAAGACCTGAATTCAAATTAAGTCTCAGACACTTAGTAGCTGTGTGACCTTGGACAAGTAACTTAACCTCTATCTGTCTCAGTTGGAACCTCCCTCTCAGGTTGTTATGAGGATCAAAAGAGGTAACATTTGTAAAGTGCTCAGCATAGTACCTGGCACATATAGGAGCCTTATAAATGCTTATTACCTCTCTCTCTTCCTATCCTGTCACCTACCCAAACAGTCGACCCTACAGCATCTCTCACATCTGTCCCTCCTTTCTATTCATAGAGCTGCCACCTTAACACCCTTTTTCATTCCCTCTCAGACTATTGAAATGATTTGCAATAGGTCTCTCCATCTCACTTTCCCCGCCTGCAAACCAATCTTCCTTATGTAGAGATCTAATCATGTAATTCTTCTGGTCATAAATCTGAGACTTCCTATGACTCACAGAATAAAATCTGAACTCCATCAGTGTTCAAGACCCTCCACAATCTGGCAGCATTGTGCCTTTTTTTAAATAAAAATTTTAAATTATGGACTTAGCAATCATCACCAAATATAAATATTCCAATACACAAAAATAGGATTTCATATGAAACTGTGACCTTCTTTTCCATATGATTTGTTTTTTAAGTGTCTTTAAAATTGAACAAGGTAGTGACAAAATGACCCTATTTGTATCACCTTCTGAATCTTTTGTTTTCCTTTTCTTGGGACTCCATAGCTTTAGTTCTATACTTATCATGTATTATCATGTAACATCATGATTTATATGATCCTCTTATTAGACTGTAAGCTCCATATGATAATTCAGACTGCGTTTATTTTTTTTTAATTTAAAAAAAATTTTTAAGACTAGGTTGCCTTTTCTCATTCAGGCTTGAAGTGCAGTGGCCATTCATTGGCCTGACCCCACTGTTGATCACCACTGAAGCACTGATCTGCTCCATCTCCTACCTGGGCCAGTTTGCCCCTCCTTAGGTAACTTGATAGCCCCCTGATCATAGGGGCTCACCATACTGGTGCCAGACTTAGTATAGACACCAGAAAGGTTTTAGCTCTATGGTAGCTCAGTAAATCTGAACTAAAGAAATTTACCAGCCTCAACTGGTCTATAGGCATATGCTACCACACTCAGTAACTTATTATGTTTTATGTATTTATTTTTCCCATTACCTACTCCTAGTACAGTGCTCTGCCTAAAGTAGGTGTCTAATAAATGTTTACTGACTTGAAGCTGCTAATACCTCATAGTACTCTGATATGCTATTAAGCCAAACTCCAAGAGTAGTAGAGGTAGGTCATCTTTATCTATGCTACTGCTGCATGGTTTTTGAAGAAAAATGGAAATAGATGCTAGTTTCTCTCCAAATCTTGACTATATCATCCCCCTAACTCACTGGGTTTGAGTCCTGATGGTTACCCTCAACTTGATTTAGTCTATCTGAGAAAAGTAAGCTGGACAGTTACTTTAAAAAAACAACTCTGATCTCATGAAAGGCTGTTAAATAGAGAATAGTTATCAATCATGTTCCCTGGAGCTAAAAGTCTACCAATTGGTATTGCCTGTAAGGAAGAATTTTTCAACAGTATGGCTTCTTAAGAAATGGAAAAGAATTTCTGAGACAAGCTGTGGGATCCTCCTCTCCAGAATTTGTTTTAAACAGGGTCTCTTTTTTTCTTCTTTGCTCTTCTTAGTATGGTTTAGCAATAGTAGCATCACATAGGACCACAGCTTTAAGGTTAGGAAGGACCTTGGAGGTCCTATAGTCCAAATGACTGATTTTACAGATGAGGGGACTGAGGCTCCAAGAGCTAAGTGACTTGCCCAAAGTTACAAATATAAATATCAGGGGTATGATTTGAACTCAGGTGTTCCTGGCTCCAAGTCTAATAGATTTTCTACTACACCATGCTGCCTCTTCCTTCAAGAGGTAGAAAAATGGATTAGAACAAGGACTACGGAACTCGTGGCTTTTAAAAAAATACAAAGGGAAAAAACTTGTTATAAGTTGTATTGATGTTAACAGTAACTGCATCATTATAAAGCCTTAAACTAATGTAAGCACATACAACTATGTGAGGATTCTCTAACTGCTTTGATAATTTCTTAGATATTTATTAAAAATGTTGAAAATGTGTTTTTTCCAGTCTGTCAGTCAATAAACATTTATGAAGTTCCTACTATGCACCAGGCACTATGGCAAGTGCTAGGGATATAAAGAAAGGCAAAAGACAGTCCCTGCCTTCAAGGACCTCACAGTCTAATGGAGGAGACCATATGTAAACAACTCTGTACAAATAATCTATCTACAGGATTAATTAATGATAATAAAGAGAGGGAAGGCACTAGAAGTAAGGGGGAATTCAGAAAGGCTTCCTGCAGAAGGTGGGATTTTTCCTGGGTCTCAAAGCAAGCCAGGGAAGTCAGATTGGTCAGAGTGTTGAATTATAACTCCTGGACTTGGTCAGATTGACTAGGGGCAGTAGGGTGGATTGGCTTTGGAGTCAGGGCCTTGATTTGGATTCTATCTAGTTCTGCCATTTTACTTCCTCTGTGACCCTTAGACAGTCACTTAACTCCTTTAGGATTTAGTTTCCTAACTTGTAAGGCTAGAGTAGATGACTTCTAAGATCTTCTCCAGTCTTAAATCTGTGATCTTTGATGACCTCTTAATGCCTCTTTAACACTCACAGATCTATACATTCACAGTTCTTGTTAAAGGCTTAGATCAGAATTTTATTTTCCAATCTGTCGGGCAAATATTGGCTCAGGACGTTCTTTCAATAATCCCAGCATTTTTTTTTCTACTGTGACCACAGAGGAAGAAGGAATATGGATTATAATCAGAGAGTAGAGGGCTTGCATACCTATTTTAATATATTTTTGGACTTGAGCAGTGATTTCATTGGTATAGTGGACTCTCATTAAAGGGGCTCTTTCTACTGACATGGATTGTTCCTTGCTCCCCAACTTATATAGCCATAGCCCAAGACACTGAGAGTTTTAGTGACCTGTCTGAGATCACATAGCCAATATATCTCTGAGGTGGGACTTGAACCCAGATAACTCCAAGGGTGGCTGCTTCCTACACTGTGCCATGCTTCCTCTCAGCACATTAACTCTTAAATTTCACATCTAACGAAATTAGGCTCCTTTTTTTGATCAGTAACTGCCCATTCTGAATTGAACCTACATTCTGCAAAGCTTGAATGTGCATTTTGATTAAGATCAGAAGCAGCCTACTAATGGTGAGCCTGCAGGGGAAACAAAACAAGAGCTGAATCCTAGCAGCTGTTCATCTCTGAAAGTAAAAAGCTCAAGATCTCTGGTCCTCCAGAACTTAACAATTACCACAGTAGATAGTATACGTTCATCAAAATTAAGATTTTTAGTTCAGAAAGTCAGTTTCTTCTCTGACACATTTCCAAGTATATTTCCTTTTCAAACATTTGGTGGAAGATGATTGTGCACACAGCTCTGAGAAGTAAGCAGCACATCCCTTTCAAAAACACTGTACTTTACAACTTATATACTTAACTGTATAAACGTCAAAGAAAAGGTCAATGTGCATTTTTTCCATCCAATTGCACAACCAGTAATTGCCTGTAGTTGTAGAATTGCACAATGACAGTCTATATTCTTGGCAGTTATCACCATATGTCCACAAATTAATAAAAATAAGAAAGGTACTATTTGTAAACAGTTCAGGTCACACTCATCTTATACTTTGTGCTGACCAAGAGTTTTTTCTTTCCAAGTTTCTTTAAATCAAACTTGCTTTCTCTACGGGCTCAGTAAAAGGTTTTTCATCCAAACAGATTTTCATCCTTCTCTATTTCTTTTTCCCATTAAAGCCCCATTGAGACCTTTTTATTTTTATGTTGACTTTTCTTACATATTATTCCCAAGCACATTCTTAAGTTGTGTTGAGGTAAGTCAAAGATTATGACTGTGTCTACCTGGTAGGCAGTGAAACTTATTACGGAACAATTCTGATTAGAACACTGCCATGTCATATCCCTGCCTCTAGAGGTTATATGGGTCCCCAGATGATCACAGAATACCTGCGGTGATTTCAGCATCTAAATAAAAACAACTGGTGGATCTGGGCAATTCAAAGGAGGAAAAATAAAGTTAAATTGGTTAGGCCTAAATTGGGCCATGCAACTACTAAGGCCCTACCAGCTTGAAATCAATGACCCTACGATTGGGGATATTAGGAAGTGTGCTGGTTGTTGGTATAAACAACCAAGATTTACTGAAAGTTTTACTTTTTGTCTGATTGTGATAGTTTAGCTTAGACATGACGCAAGTTGCTCATAAGTCTTTGTTTCTCGCCTACTTCTTTGCTGGTGACTACCTCTTTCCCGGTGTGAGCCTATTCAGTAAAGGAAAAATCAAGCTCAATGTCTGCATTTTTAGGTAACTATGGGGGAAAATTAAAAGACAAGTTTTCACGAAATGCTTTGAAAATTTCAGCGGAGTCTATAAAATGCACAACAATTATTGGTTGCCTACCTTCCTTCCGGCTCTGTTGTTGTGAAGGTTCATCAGTGCTCGAGCATCTTTTCCTTTCCTTTCCTTGGCATCCACAAATGCTCGGGCAAATTTGATCCCATAGTCAATGTTATCACTGCATCCACCCCAATCAAAAGTGCCTTTGCTATCTTTGGAAGTTCCTTTCTTCTTAGGGTCACAGGAGCACGATTTTAACTCTCCCTGGCTACAGGCCCTGGTGATGGCATATACGACTCCAGCGGAGGAGATAGCATACACAAAGGCGGCCTCTCGACTACCTGCAATCAAAATGGTCATCTTCAAAAGAAGGTTGACATTCCTATCTCTGTATGACGTCAGCCTGATGCATTGGTGCTCCTTGAGAACCTGCATCCTGCTGGGTGTTTTGTTCCTTTCCCAGAACATGTCATTGGACCTCACTTTATGTAAAGAATACACCCCTATAAAGTTATGTGCATATCAAATCAAATCTCATTATTAGTTCCCTGGAGGAGCTCATGATTTCATAATAATAATAATGATAATGGTTAATATTATAAAGTGCTTTAAGGCTTACAAAGTACTATACAGATGCTGAGGAGGAATCTTTTCATAAGGATTTTGTGAATCAACTGATCATCATTCAATTTGTTTAGTTGTATTAAGATAAGTACATATTCATGAACTTTTCTTAAAGCAAAGCAATATCTCTATGAAGATCCTAATAGAATCAGGCAAAGGGGCTCTTTTCTGCAGTAGGACTGTTTTGGATAATAGCAATACATTAGCTCATTAGGCAACTAGGTGGCTCAGTGGATAGAGATCTGGGCCTGGAGTCAGGAAGACCTGAGTTCAAATTTAGCTTCAGACACTTACTAGCTGTGAGACCCTGGGCAAGTCACTTAATCTCTGAATGCCTTAATCCACAGGAGAAGGAAATGGCAAACCACCCCAGTACCTTTGCCAAGAAACCCCATGGACAGTACTGGCATGCTATGGTCCATGGGATCAAGAAGAGTCAGACATGACTGAAGAACAAAGACATACATTAGTGCAATGGCAAACAAAAATATGTTTTGGTTCGTTGGCACCCTTAAATGTTTCGAAAGTATACAAGGCTGGTCCTCAGTTTCCTCATCTGCAAAATGAGAGAACTGAGGACCTTTTAGCTCTAAAAGTTCATATTTAAGCCTTTCTCTATAGCTGCCTTCCAAAACAGGCTTGGATTTTTTTGGCAACCTCACAAATAAGGAAACTGATTTAAATTGAAAACGTTGTGTTTAAAGGCTGGGGAAAGGAGAGCACCTAACCTAGAATGAGGCACTAGGAACTGCTCTCTTGCTCTAATTCCAACTCAACTTTGATGTAACAGTTTAGAGAAGGCACTATCATTGAATTACTCACTATGGCTAACCAGCAAGGTGAATTGACTTTACTCTGAAATGACTACACTAACCATTGCTATTGGTCAAAAAAAGACAGTTAAGAGATTTTTAGGTTTTGCTGGAAGAAAACAAATTTACCACCTATAATTAGACTTGTGGCGGAGCCATTTTTTTTGTGCTTTCTTAGAATTATTCTTTATTAGAGCAAAGTCTACTTTCACTTACTGACTCAAAGGTACATATTTCAGTGCAATAACTACATTAAATTATTTTAATAATCTGTAGTAACTCATAATACAGTGTTGTGGTATAATGACAGATATAAGACTCTTTAGGGTCCCTGTGCACCTCATTTTTCAAATGGTGCTGTATTTCATTGTTATTAGCATGCTTTTTTATTAATGGTTGCCACAGTAAATATATTAACAGCCAGAATAGAAGCTGACCAACCTCATGCCAATGGAAGGCTGAAAACAGACAGCCATTAGGTGATCCAATAGGTACACCAAGAAGAGTGTGACTTTTTGAACCATACATCTGGGAGAACAAACCACCATTTTGCATTGAAGCACTGCTCATTCCCATTTGTCATTCAGGGCTAAAATTTATTATACATTCTTTATAATATTTGCTCTGCTAGCCTCATTATTAAAAATCAGAAAAAAACATATCCTCACCATATTAAATGACACTTACCTCAGTCTTTAAAAAACAATCCCCCAAGCCCAACAACTCAAAAAAAATATAGAACATTTCCATGTAGTTATGTGAAAATAAGTTGTGTGAATATTTGCCATAAGTAGCAGTTTGTGTTCCCCAGAGAGGAATGTGATGATCATATGTCATTTTTTTAAAAGGTAACCCAACTTACAATGTAAGAGTCACAAAGGGCCAAGTGAAATTCAGCTGTTTTATAAAATAAGTCAAATAGAGACCAATATATCTTGCCAAAAGGTGGCGCTTGGAGAAAATATGCTTTTTCTAACTTGCTTAGTCCATGTTCATAGACATGATGGGGTATGTTCAGTCTTGCTAGGAAGTAAATTGCAAGTCCACATTGCTCTAAGAGGGACTATGGATTAGTGGATACAGAGCCAATCTTAGAGGCAGAAAGACCTGAGTTCAAGTTCTATCATTGACAGATCCTAGCTATACAACCAGAGGCAAGTCATTGAGCCTCTCAGTGTCCTAGGTTAGTGGTATCAAACTATCAACAGGAAAGAGATTAAAACAAAACAAGTAAAGGCACAATATGACATTTTTGTTGTTGTTCAGTTATGACCCCACTTGGAGCCTTCTTGGCAAAGATATTGGAGTGGTTTGCCGTTTCCTTCTTCAGCTCATTTTACAGATGAGGAAACTGAGGCAAGCAAGGTTAAGTGACTTGCCAGGGTCACATAACTAGTAAGGATCTGAACTCAGGTATTGCTGACTCCAAGCCCAGCACCCTAACCACTTCACCACCTAGATGCCTGGCATCTCTGTTTTACTGAAGATAAAGTATAAGCTCATTAATAGTAAGTGACTTAGTTGTAAGTGACTTTGCAGCCGTTATAATTCAAGTCTCCTGTCTTGAAGTTTAGGGAACTCAAGGGTGTGTGAATAAAGAACATTGGTGATAGGGTTGTTCAAAAACGGGACTCCTGAACGTTTACCCTTTTTGGTACCACCACCAAATAACTTTTAATCCAAACATTTTGTGAACAAATAAAAATATACCATGTGTGTGTGTGTGTGTTTGTGTGTGTGTGTACATGCATGAGCGCAGGCATATGCATACCAAGGGATGCTATGAAAGAGAGATGTTCTAAACAATGTACAAAAAGGTCTTTTAAAAATGAGCAGGGAAGGGGCAGCTAGGTGGCACAGTGGATAGAGCACCTGCCCTGGATTCAGGAAGACCTGAGTTCAAATCTGGCCTCAGACCCATAACACTTACTAGCTGTGTGACCCTGGGCAAGTCACTTAACCCCATTGCCTAGCCCCCCCCAAAAATGAGCAGGGGGATGTTTCTGCTAGTAGAAAAACTTGGTCTAGTGTACAAATAATAGTTACATTAATGATTCAAATAATAGTTACATTAATTGTTGGATGGAAGAAAAATTATTTTTATAGAACTGAACTGGCCTCTTTTTTCCCCCCCAAAAAATTTCCAAAGATAATCACATTCTAAAGATGCCACTTCCTATTCATATTCACATAAGTTGTATCATCTCAATGACACATATCCAGAAGTATGTTTGTTTAAACAAAACATTGGGAAGATGGACTGATTTTTCATTTTTTTCTACGTATTTCCGTGTCCCATTGACACAGTCTTAAGATGTTTTGCATTTAGTGCCTTAAATGAATCACTAAAATGCTATGAATTTTATGCAATAACACAAAATTGGATTTCTGATCCTCTGCCGAGGAAAAAAAACGGTATTCCTTTCAAATCTGTTAAAAGTTATAAATCCCAAATCATTTGAATGTTTAAGTAGTAAGAGTTTAGTAATTCCAGAGTACTTTTTGGATTTTTCTAATTTTAGAAAATTATCCTACCAAAATGTAGTTGAAGAAAATAAATCAAATATTTATTAAAGGCATATAAGCATACCATATGGAATATTATCTAATTGTGAGTTTAAGAATAAATTGCAGGGCACTAGAGCTAAAGAGTTTTGACTGCCTACACTGGAATCTATGCCATAAAAGACAATACCAATGGCTCAAAAAGTTGTTTCATTTTCAAATTCTGGGGTTTTCTAGTAGGAGTATTCCAGTCCCTGGTAGTTTTTCAGTCTTCACCTAAAGTTCCCCAAACTGTTTCCCTTACTTAACGCTGTGCCTAGCAAAGAGTCATGTATATATGAAGGAGGAGGTTAATAAAGGTTTGTGAAATGAGTGAATGAATGAAAAGCCCCTAAAAATCCTCTCCACAAAATCCTTTCTAAGCTCTGATTCCTTGGAGCAAAAGGAAACTTTCTGGCTCCCCTATAAAGATAGAATCTTCCCACATTTCATGTGTCCTTCTCATATAAACAATTCTACTCTCTGACTTTGCTATCTATCTATCTGGTGACAGCTAAGTGGCTCAGTGGATAGAACACTAGACAGAGAGTCAGGAAGTCCTGAGTTTAAATTTGACCTCAGACATTAGTTGCATGACTCTGGGAAAGTCCTTTAACCTTTGTTTATCTCAGTTTCCTCATCTGTCAAATGGGGATAATAATGGCATCTATCTCCCAGGGTTGTTTTGAGGCTCAAATGAGAGAATATTTGTAAATCACTTAGAAAATGTTAAAGCACCATATAAATGTTGGCCACGATGACTATAAATACAACTCTCAGACCTCTTCACAGTTCTGAGATGGGAACTTCTCATCAAACAATTAATTGTTAACATTTTTGGACAGCTTCGATGGAATTTCATGATTATTTCCAGAATAAGCCGCTTTAGGCCAAATTCTGCCCTCCCATATTCAACACGAAATCCTCATCGAGTTGAATGGGAATGAGGGTGAGTATATAAGGATGGAATCTGGCCTTCTGTGAAAAGAAGGAAGAAACATAGTCTCATGTGAATATTCTATTTTTGTGCTTTTATTCAATTAATTCAGCTTTATCTGAAAAAAATCTGAAGCTATTAGAGTAAAAACAAAAATCATGTTAGGTCTTAGACCAGATTGATCTACCAACTTGTCTTCCCCTCTTCCAAGCCCCTACTGACTCTACAGCATTTACTGAAATGAAGTTATTGGCAAGATTTATTCAATGTATTTTATGGATGAATCCCCTAGCTTATATAAATATATTATTGTTGGAAATCAACAATCAGAAACTACCTCTATTTAGTTCTATTTGTGGTCTGAAAGTTTCCACACTATAGCGATGTCTAAAAGCTTTATCATAGGCTCAGCTTTTAAACGGAATAATTTTACAAACACTACATGAATTGGCACATTGTAATGGAGAATGTTTGTAAACACTCTGGATAAGAAAATGCCTACTAGATCTTGAATTTAATTATCGCTTGAAGGCATTCCCATAATGTAGCTCATAATTCCTCATGCTGGCATCAGCACCTATAAACTTTTGTTTTTGAACAGGGATCAGAACTTTTATTGATTCATTGGTGAGCTAATCTAGGTGAAGCCTTGAAATACCATTCGTTGAAATTGCTGTTAACCTTTGAAAAATTTGCTACATCATATTGAAACTCCAAAAGGAATGTAGAAGGATGGAGTTCTTACAATATTGCAGTAAATTAGCTCTAGGGATGCACTAACAGTGAGCATATCACTCCCTTGAGGGATTTTACAGCCATTCAGCTATGCATTTGGCCTCATAAAACCCTAGGGGTGTGATGAATACATGATAGAAACACCCTCTGCTACGTACTATGGAGTGTACAGCCTGGATGATTTTCCTAGGCATGGGAGGGGAGGGGGTTGTGTGCATATGGTGGGCAGGGCACAAACAAGTGCAAAATTTCTGGTTTTAGATATTCACACATAGGATGCTTTGCTTTTGGTCAGATTTCCAAAATGGCAGCATTTTGTGGAGAAACAGAAGCATTTCATTTGAGCTGGGACGTTATCTTAGCTAGATAACAAGTTCTGAGGATCACTTTCCCTTTACTTCTAGCTATTAAGCTGGACTTTCTTCTTAGCTTCTTAAAAGCAATCCCCCCCCAATGATATCATTAGAAAATCCTTATGGAAGGTTCCATCTACAAGTCTGTAACTTAATTTAGAGAAAGGCTCATAGGCTTAGTAGCAAATGGGAAAATCAAAGATATTGAATGGGTATTAAAAAACAACAGAATTTAGTTGGAAGGGATCTATAGATCTAATACAATGCTCTCATTTTACACACAAGAAAACATACTCATAGAGGTTAAGTAAGTGACTTACCCAAGGTCACACAGTTGGGTAGTCGGTAAATTTTGTTGTTGAGTTGTTTCAGTTGTGTTGACTCTTCAAGACCCCATTTGGGGTTTTCTTGTGGAAGATACTGGAGTGGTTTGCCATTAGTTTCTCCACCTCATTTCACAGATGAGGACATTGAGGTAAATAGGGTTAAGTGACTTGCCCAGGGTCACACAGCTAGGAAGTATCTGAGGCGGGATTTGAACTCAGGAAGATGAATCTTCATGACTCTAGGCCCAGAGCTCTATCCGCTGGGTCACCTGGCTGCCCTAGTCCTGTCAGTAAATAGCAGAGCCTATATTTGAACCCAGAACTTTTCATTTTTAGATCCAAAGCATTTTGTCTTAGTTTCTAAATTGTTGGATCACTTTGATTCTCTGCATCCCTGGAGCCTAGCACTGTAGCACACAGTAGGCACTTAATGAGTGCTTGCTTAATTGATTCATAGTTTAGTTTCCTTGCTAGTAAATAGGAGTGAGAACACAATATTTCCCTGTACAGGATGACAGTGAGGAGGATTGCCCAATCCAAGTAACTGTTAAGCATTTTAAGGATACTTCTTAGAGAAAAGGCAGCATGGTCTAGTTGAACACCCAGCCCAGTCTAAACCCTAGAGCACTGAACTTGGAATCAGGCCTTAGTTCAAGTTCCGGCTTGGTCACTATACTGCTACCAGCAAACTATTTAGTCTCAGCCTGCTTTCTAAACTATATAAGGAGGAAAACAATACTTGAGCCTTATAGGGTTGTAATGAGGAAAGTACTTCATCAATTGTAAAAGGCTAAATCAACAGGAGATATTATTATAATGAACGCTAATGAATGCTGCAGTGGGCAGCTAGGTAGTGAAGTGGATAAAGCTCTGCACCTGGACTCAGGAAGACTCATCTTCAGGAGCTTAAATCCCACCTCAGACACTTCCTAGCTTTGTGACCCTGGGCAAGTTTGCCTCAGTTTCCTCATCTGTAAAATGAGTTGGAGATAGAAATGGCAAACCACTCCAGTATCTTTGCCAAGAAAACCCCAAATGGGGTCATGAAGAGTTGGTCACAGCCGAAATGACTCAACAACAAAAACAATAACAGCATGAACTCCAAACACAGACACCTCTACTACATGCCAGATTTGAACCATCCTGATCCTCTGCTTCTATGTCCCTTTGGGAGACCAAAGCTGTAGAAAGAAGAGGCAAGAAATCCAAATGGGACTCTACTGTATTATCTGTTCTGAGGATAAAGGACAATGCATCTGTATGGTATAATAGATAGAGCTCAGGGCTGATGTCAGGAGACCTAGATGTCATCACCAGCTAGGTATGAGGCTTAGGTTGGGCAAGTCACCTAACTCCCTAAAATCTGTTTCCTCATCTGTCAAATGGGTTACTGTGCAGGGAAAATGAAATCAGATTTGTCAATGTGCTTTGAAAAGCACAAGGAAGAACGTGGTGAAGTTGGTGCCCTCTGACTGTAGAAGGTACTTACTTCGGAGCAGGACCTTGCCAAAGAGATTGTGGTCTCTGTCTAGGGTGTGACAATTCCAGCGGTGCTGTCGAAACTGGTGCTGACATTCGGCAGTCCACTCTGCCACGCCCAGGCCAATGGAGCGCATCACCTCCGGGTGCCGGTGGCACAGCTGACGTTGGCGGCTGACCAGGCCCGGCACGTTGTCACACATGACCCTTGAGGAGCCCACAGCTCTCATGTACCTGCAGGCAGCAAACACAGGAAAGAGAGCAACTAGGGAACAAGTGGGCATGACGGGGATCTCCTAAGGGAGAACTCTATAGTAGGGGTGTCAAAAGAACCAGACTCAAATGTAATTGGGAAACACTTAACAAGATAAATAAAAATACAGTAGGACATGGATAATGTTAATCTGTGTTTTTGAAAGTTAATGCAGGCTGCAGGAATCCTTATGTACCCCAATTAGTGGCTCCTGTTTCTATTGGAGTTTGATGTCTGGACCCTGACTGATGGCAAGAAAGTGTGGCTAGTTACAAGGCAAGGAGTCATCTCAAAGGGAAGAAAGACTTGTTGCAGATACCTGCAGAAATCAAGAGGAGCAGGTTCTGCAAAGTGATTTTTAAAAAACTATTTAAAAATAATAATTTTTGTTACTTAGGGTCAGAAGAGCTCAAAGCACTTTTCAAATATACACTTCTTGCATAACTTTCTGATGAAATAGGAGCAAATGTCAGTGTAGTGAAATGGCCATTGCATGTAGTGAAATGAACATTGGATAGAAGTCAGGAAACTGGGGTTTTAGTTGAAGTTTTGCCATTAGCTGGTGATGTGACCTCGTACACATTATGAGGAAGCCTCAGTTTCCTACTCTATAAATCAGAGGGGCTGGACTCTAGTGCCCCTTCTTAGTCTAATGGAGCTCTGGACTTGAAGTCAAAGGACCTGAGTTTAAACCTCATTTCTGCTGTTTATTTGTCAAGTCATCTAACAACTCTTAGTCTATTAATCTGTAAAATGGGAATGATAATAACAGCTAACATTTATATAGTGCTTACTATGTGCCAGGCACTGTGCTAAGTGCTTTACAATTATCATCTTATTTGGTAACAATGATACTTGTCTCCTACCTACCTCAAAGGGGTATTGTGAGGCAAGTGCTTCATATTAAGTCTTAAGGTAACTTATCTTATCATTTACTGGATAACCTGAGTGATAATGAAGTAATCTGGCAAAACAAATCTAAGAGACTAGAGCATTACATGGAAAGAATGTTGGATTTGGAGTCAGAGAATTTAGGTTCAAAGACAAGCTCTTCCATTTGCAATCTGACCTTGGGTAAATTGCTTGATCTTTCTGGGCCTCATTGTCCTTCTCTGTAAAATGAAAGGATGAACTAATTGACAGTTGAGGTCCCTTGAATCTGTGATGCTGTGAACTCTGCCCTTTCCTCAGAAGCTCACTGGAAGCCTACCAATGGTGACTCGGACATTTGCTATGAAAGAAGGTGTTTTGCATGGGGTAGGAAGGGAAGGATAAAGGAGATATATAATGTATTTTTGGGAAAAAGCTTAAGAGAGTCTCAATAAGGCTCTTAGACAAAAAACTGTGCTCAGTCTTTGCTTTGGGGAAAATCTGTCTTTGAAACCACCTTCCCTTTCCTGCCTAAGATTAATCAAATATTTAAAAAATTTGTTGCATCTGTGTTAACTGATGTAAAATCATTATGATTATAGACATGGTCTTCTACTGCTGCTCAAGACCCAGTTTTAAATGTCCATTTTGCAGCTTGTTTTCTTTAAAAGACAATCTTAGGAAAAAAAATTCAATTGTTTTTAAGGATATGAAATATTTGGAAGAATCAAACTGAGTGTTATAGCTTGGGTAAAGGACTTTTGAAAAGAAACTTTAACAAAAATTAAATTACATCATCATCTGTACCCAGATGTTCTCTATTAGTAGTGAACTGTTTAGAAAGGTACCTTTCATATAACCCAAGCTGCCATAGGTGTCTTTTGAAGCGATCAAACAGGGAAAATGTCTTTTTCTTGTATTTTCATTATTTTATATGATCATAAAATCGTTGAAGCTGTGACTTCCAAAAATATATATTTAAGTGACAGCTAAGAGACAACGTGACAAAAAGCTGTAGCAATAAATAATGTTTATACACCTATGGAAACAGAAATAGTCATTTTATTGAAAAATGGTTAGTCTGATAAATCAATCTTTGATCCTATGTCAGCAATGTCAAGGCCAAATGCTTTTCCCATTCTAAGTGGTTTTAAGCCGGAATTGAACTCCTCTTCCCATCAACAGCTTGGGCTTGTTGGTTTGAAGATCTCCAGTCATCTCCCTGCTCTATTCCTTTATTGGATTTGAGAAAAGCTAGGTTTGTCAGATCCTTTATAAATAGCGCAAGATAACAGGTCTTTCTGAACCTTCCCATTTCTGTCCTTAAACTTATTAGTTGCAGAGATGTAAAGGGGTTTTCAACTGTAGTCTTTAAATAGTAGAGGGCAGGGGCAGGGAAAGGTTTTCCCACACCGGAACATCTGTCTAGAGATCCGAAGACCCATTGCCATTAAACATCGTTTCTTTTTTTTTTTTTTTAAATGGGTCGAAGACTGACTTTTCAAAGCTCAGAACCAAAGTTCTTTGGGTCATGGCTTTGCAAAAGAGTACCTTGATTCAAATTTTTTTTTAAAAAGACCATTGTTTGAAAGATGGAATGAGGGTAGTCGCCTCTCTGCCTTGAGGCAATAAAACCAAATCTGAATAGCGAGTTTCTGCCCGATTAAGGCAAGGGCATTAGGAATTTGGAAGAACACAAATGATGCAGAAGCACTCATTGATTGTTTCTTGGGCTAAAAAAATGAAGCCATGCCTCAATCGGCCCTTCAAGTCTTTTGGAGGTTAATAACCATGGCTGTACTCACACAGAGAGACGCACACAGACACACACGTATGTGCCAGAGATTCGGTTAGTCTTTCTCCCCACAGGATGTGAATTTGACTCATTTTGCTGCCTTTATCCTGGATCCAAATAAACCAACATCCGATCACTCTTTCGAGCAAGAATTTGGCTTTTTCCAGGTTGTCAAAGCCGGAATGATCTGTCGGGGAAGAGCGAAGGGGCGCAGGATGGGGACGTGTCGTGGGAAAACAAGGGGCTCTGAGGCTGGACTGCAGTTGGGAGGGATGGGGTGGGGGGCGAGCGGGGAATTTGAGATTCGCCATCAGTCAGTCTCTGACCGGGAGAAAGTCCCCAGAAAAGGGTCTCCCTGGTCCAGGACTGTGCCAGTTCCCCTCTTCCAAAAATCACATCGAGTAAAGGAAGTCCTTGTCAAGTGCTGAACTTACCACCATGAAGAGCTGACTTGTGGGGTTACCCAGGATAAGATCAGAGGAACAGAAAGCCAGATTCCAAAGAGAGAGGAGGAGTTCATATTAAACACCCTTCAGTCCGCATCAGGTCAGACACAACGTGCGTGCGGGGTCCATCCCATGGAACAGAAATAACGGGGACAAGAAACACTCAGCAGCCGCCGCGGGGAGAGCGTCTCCAGTCCCGTCCCGTCCCGTCCCGTCACGGCAGCCTACTTCCCCCCCCCCGCCCCCTTCTCGCGTCTGCGAGTGGCGAGACTCACTGATAAGTTTCACACGGAGAGGGAGTGAGCGAGCTCAAGGTCAGGAATGACCTCCAGCCCCCGAGCGAGCGCCTCACCCTGAAGCGAATTCCCAGGCTGCGGGGAGAAAGGACCGCACGAGGAGGGCTTGCCTTCTTTCCTCCTGTGCCCCTGTTTCCATTCTTCCCTTCTCCGCAGCCTGAGCGCAGGCAAGACTGTGGAGATGAGGAGGGTTCTGCTTACACACTGGGTGGGTGGCTTTTTTTTTTTCTCCTAAGCTCTGATGGATGAAATGATGTCAAGAGACGTTCAGGGTTGGGGGGGGGGGGACAGGGAGGGAAGGAAGGGGGAAACACCTCTGACTAGGCTCGGAAAACCCGAGGAGGCCGGTAGTCACCTTGCAGTCACGTTACAGAGAACAACCCCAGCAGCTCCAGACTCCCTTCTTGGTGTAAGGCTGGGTGGAACACACCGGCTGGGGAGAGGAGACACCCCACACCCCTCCTGCAAACAGAAATCTCCTGGGGCGTGATTTACACCGACGCGAGGAGGTAGAGAAGGGGGGGGTCCATACAAACACTGGTCTTAGAGGGAGTGAAGAGACGGACAAAAAGACAAGACAGGTAGATGGACAGAGACAGGCTGGGAGGGAGACAGGCAAAGCGGACAGGAAAGCAGGCAGGCAGGCAGATAGGAAGGTAGAGACAAGTAATTCAGTGAATTTTTATCTCTGTACATTCATCTCCTTAAAGCTGAAAGCTAGGGACTGTTTTCTTTTTGTCTGCGATCTCTGAGCCTAACCTAAATGCTTGGCAAACAATAGGCGCTTAATGCATGTTCCTAGCATGAAAGAATAAAGAACTAAGAGATAGGAATGAATGATTATGGAACCTGTATACCTAAAATTGTTTAGGGATAGGAAACGAAGAGAGACAACATGGACTCAACCTTCAGCATTGAGCGTATTATGTCGTTCGCTTGACCTTTTTGACCTCCTCCCAACTTTCGCCCATCAATAATTCTTAGCCAGTTAGATTCTTCACACACCTCGTTCTTCTGAGTCGGTCACTGGCAAGCCAGGAGAAATAGCCTCAGACGGTAAAGGGAGCCGGAATCTCCAAACGCTAAGCTGCCTCCCTCCCCCCCCGCCAACAGGGGGAGTGTGTGTTGTTGCGGGGAGGGCGGGGGTCCTCCCTCTCTGACAGAGACTGTCAAGATGAAGGAAATCAACCCCCAAGACGTGGTTAATGCCTCTGTGAAACCAATGGGTCCAGGCGGGGGTGGGAGGTGGGACCTCCAATCTCAACTGACCCATCCTGAAGAAGTGTCATTAGTCATCTTCAGGAAAGGAAGGTGAACAACTCGCTATGTCCGGGAAAGAGTTGGGTGTTTCAGTAACCTCTGTCCGAAGATTCACTGGACTTTTCCTGGGGGCGTGTGTGTATTCGGGGTGGGGGGGGGAGGGTGGTGGTGGTAACGAAACCCTCCCGGGCCACCCAGGGAGCGTTCAAGGAAGTGGGGTAGGACTGCAGTTTTATCTCGTATTGTTCCCGGGGCGTAGGGACTTCAAGATAGAAAGACAATAGGAAAAGCTCTCTCTCTGCCTCGCCGGCACTGGGGTCCCTCCTGCGGGGTTCGGTCAGGATGCATTGGAGTGTCATTTCTCCCCGGGAGGCCTGCCCGAGCAAGAGCAGAAGAGGGTGAGAATGATATGACGAGGGTGGGCTGGGACCCCTGGGGGGTGGGGGCGTGAAACGTGAAGATGCCAAAACCCTGGAAGATGCTGTCAGCGCAGCTCGCGCCCCCTCTCTCTCGCCCCCTCCCCCCGCCCGGCCCCGGTCAGGTTCCGGCCCCTCCCAGGCTGACCCAGATACATCCACATTTGGGTCCGGAAAGGGAGGGGAGGAAAACAAGGACCGCGCCACCCACGACTCTGGGAAGAGCAGGGCTCCGCGCCAGGGCCGCTCCGTATCTCTCGGGCGAGACCCAGGGGAAGTGCTGGTCGGTATGTGCCGGCTGGAGAGGGCGGAGGAAATGCAGCCGGGCTCACTCCAGAGGAAGCAAGCCGCCTGGCTGGGAAGGGGGGTGGGGGTAACCGCCGCCAACACCAACCTAGGCAAGCCCCTGCAGCAGAAGTCCTTCGAGGCTACCCCCACCCCGCTTCTGGTGCCGGAATTGCAGATGTTCTTGGGACTTCGTCCCGGATGCAAACTGGTGGTGCATTAGCATCACACAGCCACTCAAGTTCCAAAGGAATAGAAGGCTGCATGGCCCAAAGGGCGCCAGCAAAGGGGGGCGAGAAGCACTGTCCATCTCCTAACCCCCGAGGGCTTTGCTTCCCAGGAGCCTAGAAGGGAAACGGGGGGCAAAGTTTGGGGCGATGGACACGTCCCACGTGACAATTATGACCTTAAAATTAGATTCTCTGTAGTGATGAGTAAAGCAACTTCTTTACTAAAAGACAAACCTCCCTCCGGCGTGCATTTCTGCTCTCACAGCCATGGGGAATCAAAAATGATGGGGCGTTTAACAATCCTGTTTAAAAGCCCTTCCCCTCCGCCTAAGATTACTGAATGACCATGGGACTTAGACTCCTTCAATTACTTTGCGGCTCCACGGAATGACCTAAACCTGAAACAGACCTCCTGGAAAAGGAATTCTTTAACTGATTAAATCCACTCCCGATTGCATCCTAGGCGCAGAAGGAGAAGTTGCCACGTGTCAGGGAAGGCTAAAATCTGGCTTGGTGAAAAGTATAAGGTTGAAATAGCTGCAGAGAAAGGCAAGCTCCAGATGTGGGAAAAGGTTCACTCAAATACCCCTTCTTGACCTGTCTTAGAGGGAGGCTAGATCAGATCACTTGTGCCTTCCAGATCTAAAGAATTACACCTCTTTAGCATTCTTTACTCCACACCTCTCAATCTATTTAAAATCCATGTGTCCTCCCATCTACGCCAGTAGATATTTGTTCCCCTATGCCCACCCTTCTTGACCTGTCATCTTTTCCAATACTTTAAAAGCAAATGGAAGATCAAACTATGAATAACATGGAATGTGAACCTTCTCCACCAACATTTTAACTCTTGGGCCAGAGTGGAATGCCACACTAGTGAATCTTTCACTTCTTTTGCTATAGAAGGAGTAGCACTAACACTACATGACACTAGTGGTGAAGTGAATGTACTTTGCCAACACATGTAATCTCATATTGTGAACCTGCTGTAGGGAAGCAAACCATTTTCCATTGTGGATTTCCAGCAAAATCTGAAGATCCCTGACACATAACCCGAAGTCTTGACATTTTAACAGGAAAGAAAAATGGGATGTGCACATATGTCCTCATCCCTAAAGTGTTATTGTCTACTTTGGTTTAGCTCCTAGTAGATGTCTAGATGTTTGAGAAGAAAAGGGAATTTTCAGAAAGGGTTGCAGCTTATCTCCATCAAAACTAACATTTCTGCACATTTTAGTATATCCCAGTGACAAATTTTAGTGGCTACTGTAACAGCTCATTTATAGTATGGGGAAACCAATTCTTTTCTGTAGATTTATATTAGCTTATTTTCAGCTCCAGTATAGCATTGTAGCCAGATGAATCAAATCTACTTTCTTAGTTAAAGCCATTGTTTGTTTAGTTTCCCAGGGTAAAGGGAGACCTGCTACTTTACAACCAGACCCACTACCACCTTTAAACACATAGAGCTGCTCCTTCAACTAGTCAAATTCGCCTTTTCCAATTCTCTTTAGCATCTTGGGCTGTGATTACTAATTTATCTGATTCCAAAACTCAGTATCTCCAATTTTGAAGAATGTTTAGGAGAACACTTTCTATACTAGCTAACTAGTCAAAGTGAGATGAGAATAATTACCCCACCCTTTCTAATGCTGTTTCCATATTTATGGGTCTAGATTGACTAATGGCATTGTACAAATGCCATTGATGGGACCAACTACAAGAAAAAATATGAATTTGGCAAAACTCATCCTCAGAATCTCTATCTTCCCTTTCTGGGCCCCATTCTTCCTCAAGCATCATACTCCCATAGGATTGCTTTATTGGTGGAATGGACTCTAAAAGTTACTTAGTCCAGGCCCTCACCTTAGAGATAAGGAATTGGCAAAGCTTCTCCCAGTAATTAAACTGCCTTCCAGAATCTGGTAGTGTCATCTTTAATATATATAGAATTTTTTATAATATTTTAAAACTCTGTTAAATTTAACTTAAAGAGAATCCTTGTGGGATGGTCCTACAAACATTATTATGGAATCTTTAATTTGCCTTCTGTTGTGTATACAAATCCTTGTTTTTAGAATTATCTGATTACTATAGATATGCTAGATGGATTATCATACAGAAGACAAAATTTATGAAATTAACTGAAAATATTTCAAGAAGAAACATTAATAGGTGACAATTATATAAAACAAATTATTCTAAGAAGCAGCTGTCTTAGCGGCAAGATTGCTGGACCTGGATTCAGGAAGATGGGTTCAATCCCACCTTTGATACTAGCAGTTTGACTATGGCCAAGTCACTTAACCTTGAAAACTCTTTAGGAAACTCTAAGTTAAAGATTTGGCTTAGTTTTTAGACAAAAGTTCTAAGCATACAGACCTTAAGCACTTTACATAGAAAAACTTGGTTGATACTCATTACATATCTTTTTTTGGATAAGCAGAGGATCAAAATTGTTAAGTTTCTTGCCTAAGGTCACAATGCTGCTAAGTGGCAGCACCAGGATTCAAATCTTGACTCCAAAAGTCCACTGAAGTTTAAAAGTTCCTAAGATTCATAGAAAGAAGGGTCTTTAAAACAGCTCATCTAGT